GCTGAGGGCCGGTGTGTGTCCGCCCGCAGGAGCTGGAAGCCATCCCCATGTTCATGAAGCGGTGCCCGGCCGAGATCGACGCGGCGCGGCAGCCCGAGCTGGCCTGTCTGCAGTCCCTCCTCTTCGACGAGGAGCAGGGCCCCGCAGGTGGGCAACCGGGGATGGGGGGTCTGCAGGGATGGGGGAGAGGGCTTGGGGCGCCCGTGGGGCGCTGGGGAGCTGCAACCCCGCTCAGGCCCTGTGTGTCCCCACCATCCCCTGCAGAGCTGGCCAGGATGTACAAAAATGAAGGGAACGAGTACTTCAGGGAGAAGGACTACAGGAGGGCTGTCATCGCCTACACCGAGGGGCTGAAGAAGAAATGCGAGGACCCAGAGCTGAACGCCGTGCTGTACACCAACCGAGGGGCCGCACAGTTTTACCTGGGTAAGGAGATGTACGCCGTTCTTCCTCAGACAGGGCTCAGAACGGGGTTGGTACCTGTCTGGGGGATTCCTGTCCTTTCAGTTCTTGCTCTTAGTTTGCTCTGCTCGCCTCACGGCGATTGTAGAAACAGTGAATTGCAGAGTCTCCACATAAGCTATTTTGTCGCCTTTGGATCTGGTTGGGTTTTAAATATAAATGAAAGGTTCTGAGCAGTGTTGCTTGCTTTATAGGTAACTTCCGTTCTGCTCTCAATGATGCCATCCAAGCGAAAAAGCTAAAACCCACCCATCTCAAAGCGATCATAAGAGGTAAGAGTTAAAGCACCTGTTACTGCATGGAGCACAAGGAACATCTTTTCAAAACAGCTTTGCACATGTTAGTTTTACTTATTACGCTGTTTTTGTTACAAGCCCAGGAACAGACTGTTGGTGGATGTTGCATTGTTTCACTGCATGTTTCTGTGTGTTAAATAACAGTGTTTCTAAACCTGAAATTATTGTTGAGTGTGCAGTCATACTTTGTTTCAGGACGGCATTCATTTCAGAAGATTACAGCAGTTAATGTACCAGATCTCTTCTCTTGTTTTGTTATTACTGTTTCTCCCCAAAACAGAGCTCTGTGTTTTGCTTTGGATTTTCAGTCAAAACACTATCTTTTTGCTCTTTGCTCTTCAGTTCTACATCTGTCAAAGGGGCGTTGGATCTGTTTCTATAGAGCACAGCATAGCTTTTGCTGTTTTCAACAATACTAGTTTTGGGGGCGGGTTGTGTTTGTTTTGGTTTGTTTTTTTTTCCCCAGCCTTTCTCATTCCATGGAAGCAGCCACTTTATTTTTTGTTAGAGAGAAATACTGAAATGTTAATTGTAATGATAAAATTTTGCTTGTAACAGACACTTCTAGCATCATTCTGCTGATTTCTGTGACTAGATAAGCAAATGATACAAGAACTGCTGAAATATTTTTAGATTTTCTCCTCAGCTGACCTGCTGGAAGTCTACGATTGAAGGACAATAGCGTGTGCTGCTGTGTACGCCTCTTGAAAGCACTGGGGCTAATGCTGTCTTTATAACCACCACTTTGTGTAGTAGTTGTATTCTGACTCCGATACTAGAAACTTAAAATCTTAATCCTTCCAGGAGCTCTCTGTCACATGGAGCTAAAGAATTTCTCTGAAGCAATAGCATGGTGTGAGGAGGGCTTGCGAATAGATTCAAAAGAGAAAAAGCTTGTGGAAATGAGAGCTAAAGCTGACAAATTAAAGGTAAATATTAAGGCAGTCTAGCATCTACAATGCTTGTTGCCTGCTTTGTGTCAAGAAGCACTTTGGGATCCTTGGTTGAAGAGCGCTCCGTACAAGATTCTGTGTAGTATATTATCCCCAAACAGAATTGAGTGGTGGTTCCGTGTAGTGTCTGTTGTTGAGATGTGTAGGGGAGAGAGCTGGAGGGGACCCTTCTGGAGATCTGAACTGATTTCTCCACTCATTGGCAGGGTAGAGCAGTGCTGGGCATTGACTTGCTGTGTGTGACCATGGTGCAACCTTTTCTTACATGTAGCGAGCTGAGGAGCGGGATGCAAGGAAAGCAAAGGTGATGGAGAAGAAAGAGCAGTGTCAAAAGGAAATTTTGTTTGCAGCAATAAAGGTGAGTCAGCAGTGGGGTTTGGTTTTGTTTTAAGAGCTATCTTATTCATCTTTAAGAGGTTGTTCTCACGTCCAGGCTTTTGAGGGCTAGAGCCAAAAAATTGAGTTAAAACCGTGATTCTCCTTGTCTGCATGGCTCTAACCCCAGCTCCGAGGTTTCCGTATTTCAGGTAATATCTAATGCAAAATACAAACCCAGTGTTAGGAGGTAGACCAACCGTCCAAGAGAGTGCTCTGGCTGCTGAGCTGTAGCACCACACTGGCCCAATCAACCTTGCTTTCTTTGCTGCTGATAGGCATTACTTCAGCAGAAGGATAGAAGATAACTATCCAGTAGGGTGGAGGAGAGAATCCACCCTGGATATTTTCATTCCTCGGCAATTGTTTGGTCTATGTTAAAATATATTGGGCTGTTATGTAAAATCTGATCTCCTCTTCTGCGGTTGTCTTTCTAAAGAAAGCAAACTTTCTTCAGTTCTCTGAAAGAGTGGATGTTCTCAGGAGCTGGTGCACATAGTTGCACCCTGAAGTTACACCTGCTAGATCCCAAAGAACAGGATTTCAGATGCATCCCTTTCCCCACATTTTCTCAGGCTCTTCCCTCAGCATGTGGGCTCCTCTGGATTCCCACCTCTCCTCATCTGTTTTATGAGGAGTCTGGGTGTCTGGCTGAGGCTCTGGATTCTGCTGGGAAGACCAGTCACCCGAGTCTAATACTGTAGGAAGGCTTTTGATGGCATGTTTAAGAGCTGACTCATTAATAAAAATGACACAATTTGTCCTTTTACCGACTGCTATTTTTTTGCTCTTATTCTCCCCACCACACCTGTTTGTTTTTTGGTTGGGGTTTGTTTTTTTTTTTCCTTCCTCCCCTCCAGGAAAGAAATATCAAGCTGGTTCTTGAGCCTTCTAATGAAGAAGAGGAAATATCAGATGGGCTGGCGGAGTTATCCTTAGACGGGTTCCACTCTGACAATGCCACGGGGGCAAAGGTGCACTTAGATGCTGATGGCAACCTAAACTGGCCTGTCCTCTTTCTGTACCCTGAACACGAACAGACAGACTTCATTGCGGCTTTTCATGAGAACTCCAGGTAAACGCACCGTCAGCAGCGTTCTTGCATAAAGGAGATGTTTGAGTAGATGAGAACAGACAGCAAGTGAAACACTGCCATGCTAATGAAGTAGCTCCAGATTTCTAATCTCATATCTGACCCTGCTTTTGAGGAGGAGGTTGCACTAGATGACGTCCTGAGGTCCTTTCCAACCTGAATTATTCTGGTTTGCGAATGCTGCTTTAAAATATGACGGCCAAAATCCTGACGTTGCCTAAATTTAT